AGCACTGATGACTGATAATGGAACTGAGTAGAAAGAGAAGATTTGACTGTATTGATAAACTATACAGTGCTCTCAATGATCCCAGAATATTCATAGTTGTAAGCCCTGCCTCTTTAACACAAATAGTTTCCTCTGATGCTATATGGTTGTGAATTGTGGAATGAGATGATCCCAGAAATGTTTTAATTACAAATAATGTAAAGGTCAGTGCAAAGATGCATGGTCAGTCAGTGAATCAATAAGCATCTCTAAGTGTTTGCTGCATGCACAGGCACTGGATATATAACCCTTCCCCAAAAAAGAGGGGTCATAAACACACTCCCTGTCTTCATGGAGCTTACATTCTAAAAGGGGAGACAGCATGCAAATAACTGCACATATAAGAAATTTATTTATTTATAAAGTATAAATGAAAAGTCATCTCAGAGAAAAAGCAATAGTAATGGGGGGATTAAGAAAGGTCTCCTGCAAAAGATGGATTTGAGCCAAATCTTGAAGGGAAGCAAAGAGGCAGAGTTGAGGAAGGAGAATATTCCAGCCATGAGGATCAATTAATTAAAAAGCACAGATATGCAAGATGGCATGCCACATTTTAGGAACTGTAAGGAGAACATTTGCAGAGTATGCAGAGAGAAGTAAAGCATAAGAAGACTAGAAGGGGTAAGGTTATGAAGAGCTTTAAATGGCCAACAGAGAAGTACAGATTGGATCTTGGAGGTAATAGTGAGCCACTGGAGTGTATTGAGTTATGAGGATGGCATAGTCAAACCTAAGCTTTAGGAAAATTCCTTTGGCAGCTATGTTGTGGGGTGGATTGGAATAGGGAAAGATTTAAGGCAGAGAGACTAATTAGGAGGTTATTGCAATTGTTCAAGTGAGGAGTTATGAGTGCCTGAACTAGGATAGTGAGTGTGTGAGTAGAGGGAAGGTGACATTTTTTAAGAGATGTAGTCAAGGTAGAAATGGCAAGATTTGACAATGGATTGAATATATGGGATGAGTAAGGCATCAGAAATAAAACCAAGGTTGTAAGCCTGATTGACTGGTTAAGATGATGGTGCCCTTGACAATAACAGGAAATTTCAGAGGGGAAAGGGGTAGGGCTAGGGAGAAAGGTGATGAGTTCTGCTTTGGACATGTTGAATTTGAGATGCCTATGGGATATCCAGTTCAAAACTTCCAAAATTCAGTTGGTGATGTGTCAGTATGGCTCAGAAATGAGACTAGGGCTGGATACACAGATCTAAAAATCATCTGACTAGATATGATAATTGAACCTATGACAGCTGATGCTATCACCAAGTGAGATAGTATAAAGCAAAAAGACAGCATGTAATCTTGGAGGATTTTCATAGTTAGACTGCAACAAGTCACCAGTGATGACTTATATACAAGAAACAATGTAAAAGATATTAATTCTAAGGACATAAATGAAAAACAGATATGGGTGTGCTATGTAGGAAGAAATAGAAATAGTAGATGGATCAGTCACAAACTCATGTTCTTGAGATATAAAAAGAACAAGAGGAAAATCTCCAACACACTGGGCAGTTCTTCCATGGGGAATTTATGGGAAAACATGGACATTCAGGTTGTACCCCCAGCAATGAAACCATTAATCTTGTGCAGTATTTTGTACTGGCCATAAAATTTCATTGATTTAGTCAACAGCACCTATTGTACATAATGCACAGCAGGTGTGTCCTAGGTAGTATTCCAAAAATCAGTAAGGTTAATGATATAATCAGAGGAGATAGAGATGAAAGGTGCATTAGCAATCATCTGGTCCTACTCAATTATTTTTAAATGAGGAAACTGAGATCCAGAAATATTAGTGATATAAATATAGGTAGTAAGAAACTTAAGACCTAGAAAAAGATGTGATTGCAAAGGATTTATTAAGGGGAACTGTTGAAGACATTCCAGATCACCAATATATTAGATATTGTACATTCATAAAAAAATTCACTTCTGAGTGATATAATATGGAATTGATAGTGTCATTTTGATGGGAAGCTTTGAATTAGTCATTGTGCCAAAATCTCCTTCCACTAGTGCATAATCTGTCTTACCCCACATGTCTCTCGCAGTTTCCTCCTTACCCTCAGCAAATATATTTCCATCTAATAACATGTATTATTTATTATTAATAACCTGTAGAAGAAAATTGTTGGGAATGCCCAGCAAGTGAATGTTTGTTACCCAAAGGGCTGGTTCTCACCCTTCTTCCATCCACATTGCACCTGCTTGTTGGAAACAAGTTTCTAGATTCTCTAAAATCCTGAGAGCAGCAAATGCTAAGAAGGAGACCAGCTGCCACCTACACTAAACATGTGTATGTTACTGTCATTACAGATTTACTCTTGGCCTACTCATTGACCCTATGGCAAAGCTGAAGGGCTAAATTTATTTATTTGATTTAATAGCTTTTTATTGACTTCTTCTGATAAATCAATAAATATTTCCATGCAGAGCGATAAGTAGCATGAAGTTCATGCTACTTATCGCATGAACAAACAGAAATTTCTCACTGGAAACAGATATCTGAATGGCAAGAGATTTGTTCTTTCTACTTGTTGTGGTTCAGTTATTTTTTCAGTCGTGTCCAAATCTTTATGGGGTATTCTTGGCAAAGATACTAGAGTGGTTTACCATTTCCTTCTCCAGTTCATTTTACAGAAGAGGCACTGAGGCAAACAGGGTTAAGTGACTTGCCCAGGGTCACACAGTTAGTAAGCATCTGAGGCTGGATTTGAACTCAAGAAGATGAATCTTCCTGACTCCAGACCCAGCACTCTATCCACTGTGCCACCTAACTGCATATATCCTAACTGTCTTCTGTCTACCTTGTACCCCTAGGTATTTCCTCCCTAGTGTCCCTCTTGGGGGTAAGGGTTAGATCACCCCCTCTCCTGGGTATCAGTCAGACTGCTCCCAACACTGCTGCATACTGCTCCACACCCCCACCACCCCAGTAGTTTTTTGCCCCAGGACAGATTAGCCTAATCATGTCTGTATTTGAGTGCCCGCTCTGTATAAAGAAAGAACCACGGGGACCTTCTGTCCAGCAAAATTGGAGGCTAATTTTAAATGATAACACTCTGAATCCATGTCTACACTGCACAAAGTGGGCAAGGGATTTGTAAAAAGCTCATTGACCCCATCAATCAATAGGAATCAGAGATATCCATTCATATCCTGGTAGTTCTTCTTAGCTACATGATCTTGGAAGAGTCACTTAATCATTTAACCTCCTACACCTTAGGGTCCTCATCAACAAAATTAATGCATTAGACATGATGACCTCTGATATTCCCAAAAGCTCTGAGTATATGGTCCTAAGGAGACCACTTGCTGGCTATGGCTGTTTTTAGGTTCTTTTGGTTTCTTCACTGTAGTGACTCTTACAGCAATTAAACACTTCTAAGGAAAATAGACCGAGTCAATTTTATACCCTGAATTCAGATTTATGGCTGATTTTTTACAACTGATTAATTTGATCTACAAGATAATTAAAATGGAAAATGGTAACCACAGGTGAAAATATAATCAAGAACTAGAAGGAACCAAGGGGACCCTCTTAGAAATGAAGTTCTTTGAGTTTTCACTATCTTGTCTCTCTTTTGTTATTGTTGTTGTTATTTGGTCATTTTAGTCATGTCTGACTCTTCATGACCCCATTTGAGGTTTCCTTGGCAGAGATATTGGAGTGCTTTGCCATTTCTTTCTCCAGCTCATTTTACAGATGAGGAAAATGAGGCAAACAGGGTTAAGTGACTTTCCCAGAGTCACTCAGCTAGTAAGTGTCTGAGGCTGGATTTGAACTCAGAAAGACGAGTCTTCCTGACTCCAGGCCTATCACGGTATCCACTGCACCACCCAGCTGCCCTATTTGTCTCCCTATAACAATCAAAATAAGACAATTCATTGATTTCCTAGAGCCATAAAATCTCAGATACACAATGGGCTTAGAGATCATCTAGTTCTTCCCACTCATTTTACACAGGAGTAAACTGAGACCCATATACCACTGTAGGTGACCCAGCATCAAGAGAGATCCAATAATATCTTCAACAAACATTAATAAGGAGACTACTGTATACATAGCACTATAATAGATAATGTAATAGCTACAACAATGAGATAAGATATAGTCCCAGTTGTTATAGGCTTATAATCTAGTTGGATTATAACATACACACATAACTATAATAGAAAATACTCAAGAAGGGGCAGGTGGGTGGTGCAGTGGATAGAGCACCAGCCCTGAAGTCAAGAGGACCTGAGTTCAAATCCAGCCTCTGACCAAACACTTGACACTAGCTGTGTGACCCTGGGTAAGTCACTTAACCCCAACTGCCTAAAAAAAAAATACACCAAAAAAAATACAAACTCAGTACTATTCAAGATCTCCCCAAGCATGATAGGGTAGACAGGGGAGTAAAAGGGTAGTATATGGCATAATAGATAAGATGCTACACTTGGACCAGGAAGACATGGGTTCAAATGTTACCTTAAACTTACTAAGTTATCTGAACGGGCAAATCATTTAACCTCTCAGGAATTCAGTTTTCTAATCCATCAAATGGGGTTAATAACATTTATATAACTTTATCCCACCAGGTTGTTGTGAGACTCAAACAAGATAATGCATAAACAAGTGTTTTGAAAACCCCAAAATGCTATGTAAATATCAGTGTTTCAACTGTGTTGCACAGGGCTTTAACAGATGAAAACATGTCATGGGCACTCAAGTCAGTCAAGAACAATTCATTAAGTGCTTACTACGTGTCAAACTCAGGGCAGCTAGATGGCTCAGTGAATAGAGCGCCAGGATTAGAGTAAAAAATATTCCTCTTCCTGAGTTCAGATCTGGCCTCAGAAACATACTAGTTGTATGGCCCTGGGCAAGTCACTTTCCCCTGTTTGCCTCAGTTTCCTCATCTGTAAAATGAGCTGGAGAAGGAAATGGCAAACCACTCCAGCATCTCTGCCAAGAAAATCCCAAAAGGGGCCATGAAGAGTCAGACACAACTGAAAAACAACTGAATGACAACATACACCAAGCCCAGGGGATACAAGCGTAACAGATGCTCTGACCCCACTCTCTCAGGGATAGGCTTGTTACGTCTCTGCCTCAGGGTTCTCAGGTACTCTAAGGGGTTGGAGTGTGTCTCTTTCCTTTGTCATAAGTTCAATTCCCTACCATCTATGTTCCCTTGGGTTTATTTTTAAGAGCCAGTGACTAGGACTACAATTTCATTTAACCACTTAATACCAGGCTGCTTTTACATTTATTTTACAGATATAGCGAGAACAAGTATACAAACATTTCCCCCAAAACCCAAGGGGTATAATACCCTTATATCATCTTGGTCTGAGCAGAGAGGGAGATGAGGCTTGGCTCCTTTACAGACTTGATCTCACCAAGTTCATGTCCAAAGGCAATATCATAGCAGTCTTCTGCTTGCCTAGAATCCTGAAGGTCACTCTCGATGATCACACTCTGCCCCATGAGGTTTCAGTGATTGGCTGGCTATAATACCTATCCCAGATTCTTTGACTCTGGGATTCCTGTGGCTTATGTTCTCAGTCTTTGAAACTGCCAATTTCAGAGACTCCACTCACTGCACCTAGAACAGAAAAGAATGGAAAAAAAGGCCAAAGAGGCTCAATTTGGGGGTGAGGGGCTTAAGAAGGCCCAAAGCACCTTTGCTTCTTTATTGAAGCCTCTCAACAGTCATGAGTGAGTCATCTCACTTCCCCAATAACAAATGCAAAAGAAAGCCATGATTGGTGTTGATTCAATCCCTTTTGAAGACACTATCAGTTAGACCCGATAAATTTGCTGAGATGGCATCATCCATGTGGAAGATCCTCAGGAGCTACTCCTGGGAGATTTATGATGATTGAAGAACATGTGGACATTTTGTAACTTATTCTTGTTATTTTACCACATAGTTGAGAAGAGGCTTTTTATGTTGACTGCTCTTCCACCAACTGCTATGCCATGACTACTACCTATTTTCCTACCAAAGAGCCTCAACATCCCTTAAATTATAACATAATGGAGTGGAACTCTCAATTGCCTTTTCTAAAGAGAGGGGCTGATGATCTCACCCCTCAGGGATCCAGGGGTATTGCTGATGGACTGGAGTGATTCTTCCCTAATGCTATCAGCTCAGGCCCCCATTCTGGTGTGTCCTCCTTGAACTGTTAACCACCAGTTCCATTTAACCAATTAACATCAATCAGATTTTATAAGGAATATTGTATAAAGTACAATCATACAATCAAAACATTTCCCCTCCCCACAACCCCAGCCTCCCTCCCACAAACTCATTGGTTTAGGTTTTCAGACTACTGAATGGTAAGGAGTAAAACTACAACAATGAATCAAAAAGCAGTGCTATGGAGTGGAAAGTATGTATAAAAGGGCCATCCAGACAAAGTGCTCTGGCAAAACCTGAGTAGGAAATACTTTTACCTGGTTATATCACCCGCTTCTGAAACTTGTGACTGAAAGATCTAAATCAGGGCTTCTTAAACTTTTTCCACTCACAACTCCTTTTCCCAGCTCCTTTTCCCTTTCTGCAGCATTCGTTGGCATAGCGTGGCCTGAGGACATGCAAAGGGCAAAGTGCACATGTTTTGTGTTCAGAACCAAAGCTGTAGAAATTGCTCAATGCATGCCCGTTCAGAAACCTTTCATTATTGCCCATATGAGGTCATGACCCACAGTTTAAGAAGGGTTAAATAGGAACAAATGTGATTATAGATTTAATGACTCTGTCAGTTATTTATTCAGTTTGCAAACAGAGGGCTGACTTAGAAATCACAACTCTGAGATCCTGTAATTTACTTTATTTGCTATTCCAAAAGAAACCAAGTTAATAACCTCTGTATCATGTGTATGGGGTGTGTGTGTGTGTGTGTGTGTGTGTGTGTGTGTGTGTGTGTGTGTGTAGTTACAAAGGAAGATTTTTTTTTATGCTAGGCGTGGAGTCAGGAGGACTTAAGTTCAAATCAGAACTCAGACACTTGCTAGCTGTGTGACCATGGGCAAGTCACTTAACTTCTGCTTGCCTCAGTTTCCTCAACTGCAAAATAAGATAATAATAGTACCTACTTACCATGGCTGATGTGAGAATCAAATGAGATAATATTTGTTAAGCACTTAACACAGTGTGTAGCACATAGTAGGTGCTTAATAAATACTTACTCCTTTTCCTTTCCTCTTTCCTCTCCCTGTACATCGGTTTCTTCATCTGTAAAGTGAAGGAGTTGGGCTAGATAATCTCTGAGATTCCTTCCCAGTGTAGAGCTGTGATCTTAATGATCATTCTGCAATAGGTTTCATTTTGTTCTGTTTGTTTCCTTTTGTTTTGTTTTTGATACTGAGTTTCCCTATCTTGCCCAAACTGGAAGTACTGAAGCCACTTTCTGGCTGATCCCAATACTAATTGGCCAGAAAGCTTTAAGTTGCTCCCTTTGTCCAGCCTGGGCTGATTTAACCCTGTTTAGGCAGCTTGCCCCACTCTGCTCTCAAGAGTTCACATATTATATTGGGTATTGGAGCTATACTGCAACTGAGAACTCCAGAACTCAAGCAATCCATCAGCCTCAGTCTTGCCAACAGCAGCGGCTACAGACACGTGACAACCCCATTGGCTACTAAAAAGTTTATAGTGTGTCATTGCTGGCAACTCTTATAGTTACTATTTTGACTGCCTATCAGGCACTGTGCTAAATGCTAGTGATACAAAGCCAAAAATGAAACAGTCTCTGGCCTTAAGGAATTTCCATTCTACTAAGTGTATGCAAATTGTAAGTAAATACAAAGTATGTGCAAATATACACAAAGTAATTATTGGAGGCACGAATCAAGATTAGCTTTGTTAGAAGCTGTGGATTTATAGGGGCAGAGGTTAGGTAGGAAGTGAATTCTAGACATGGAATATTCTATACCAGGAAGAGCTAGCCACTGGCTAGTTTGACTGGAATGGAGATTACACAAAGGGGAATAATATTAAATGACTGGAAAAGGAGGCAAGAGTCACATTTAAAGTGGAAGACTAAATACCTTACTGAAAATTGTGTTTTAGTAACAGGCAACAGAGAGCAGCTGTTTTCCCCATTTTGTCAGTTTCATGAGTGAGTCACTATGGCAAAAATTCTCAGAAGAATCAAAATTCAGGTGAACCACAGGGCACACTCACTGGAAAGGCACATGGTGGGTGAAGAAGGGCTGCTACATATTACCAGAAATGAGTTGGACATAAAAAACATTTTATAAATAACATGCATATATGGAAAATGCAGGACAGATGTGGAGTGGATCATAGATAGAAAGCTTGAGTAGCTATATTAGTCCCCTCAAGTTATTAAAACAGTAAGATGCACAATGGAAAGGGGCTTTGATATCATGGGACCTGGAGTTCAATACTGACTGTCACCATCTACACCTGGATGACCTTAGACAAGTCACTTACACCCTAGGCCTCACTTTCCTCATCTGTAAAATGAAGAAGAGTGGATTAAATGACCTTTAAGTTCCCTTCCATCTCTAGATCTCTGATTCTATAATATCTCTGAGCCTCAATTTTTTCATCTGTAAATCAACTAGATGGCCTCTAAGGTCCTTTCCAACCTGTCTGTTTCCTATGATCCATGCTCCTATGATGATGTGGAGTAGGTCCTCCATGGAGGATTTATGAAAAAACATTGATAAAAATCCCATAAAATGAAAAGGCATGGGGGGGGGGGGGAGGAAGCAGTGCTACAATCTATATGAGTGGACAAAGGACCCACATGGCTGAGATCATTCATAGATTCTTCTGAATATCTGAGGTTCTGGCATGACACCTTTAAGTAGATAACGCTTATTTATAGGTTGACATGAATTGAGCAAAAACAAGTTAGAGTGGGACAAGTAATCACTTAGGACTGCTAGTTTATATTTTTCCAAAACCCCAGGATTACAGCAGAGCAGACAAAACAAAGGCTTCATCCCTGTCCTTGAAAAGCTTACAACACCAATAAACAGATTTGGTTTTTTTTAACAGTTGTTTAGTTTTTATTTCCTTCTTCTCTGTTTATAAATTTACTTTTCCTTTGTGGAAAAACTAGAAAATAAATGTCTTCACTTCCAGCATTGACCCACCCCATCCTTTGTTTTGTCAATCTAAGCTTACCCATATGCTGATCACCCTGTTTCCATGGTGGGGAAAAGGAACAAAATAAATATTGAGTAATTGTCTAGAGGTCCCTGCAACGTGGGAGAGGCTGGGTCTTATCCTGTTGCAATATGTAGGTGGGATAAGAAATGGAATTTTCCTTTTCATTCTCTAGATCTGCAGTTCAAACTATCTAACAGATGTAAAAGTGGCAGGAAGGTTGTGTTTTATATAGTCCTGTTCTCTGAGGGGGAAAATTCTTTGAGGCTGAACAGTACCCTAGGCATGGGACTTAAGCCTGCAAAGTCAAAGAGTTAGTAACACACTGTAATGGAAAGGATGGCACACTCAGGAAACCCAGGCTCAAATCTGAACCTTGATGCTTTCCATGTGCTCCTGGGCAAACTTTGGTGAGTCTCAGTTTCCACATCTGTAAAACGAGAACACTACTTACCTGCCTGGCAGACCCATTGTAAGTACTAGATGACCTCTGAGGTCCTATCCAGCTCTAAGTTTATGATCCTATATACATTACCCTTAAATTGGTGAACTGTGGATTCCTCTAACTCTTTTAAAGCTTCCAGAGGCATGGGTAGCCTACCTGAGAGGGTTCCTCCTTGACCAAATCACAGAGGTTCACACCACCTAAAGCCATCAGAGAACATAGTCCACCTTATTTACACATTCAAATAGTTTTAGCTGACTACCCTCAACTTAACACCTTGTGACTGCATTAATTGAGGGAGAGGATAGGACCCCTTATCTCCCATTACTATTATTAGAAATGTGTTACAGTAGAGAGTGTTAGATTTGAAGGCAGAGGCCCTGGGTACACATCCTGTCTTTCCTACTTACCTTGGCATTTTCACTTCCCCTTTCTTGACTTCAGTTTCCCCATCTGTAAAATGAGGAGATTGGACTAAATGTCATTATCTCTAGGTCTCTTCCTGTTCTAAATCCCATGAAATAGGACACTCAGTTATCAATCAGAGAATCTGGACAAAGCTGTCACTCATAACAGATCAAAGGATTCAGAGATGGGTGTGACCTTAGAGATCTAGTCCATTCCCCTCATTTATTCATTTCAGATCATTTTTGTGAGGAATCTTGATTATCTGAGATGTCTCAGTTTTCCATTTCTCTATAACAGTGTAGATATAGCTTAAAGGAGGCTGCATTCCAGATTGCAATGCAGCCATTAAACAACTATAAATTATGGGGAAACAAAGGGAGACATCAGGAAAGCCATATGGTTCTTATTACATATAATCATATTTTGCTGGGGCATCCTTTCAGTGCAGCAAATTGTCATCTGAGCTAATGCTCTTGGATGTTTGTTCTTTGAAGACAAAGGGAAAGAGAGAACATAGGTTATCTCCTCTATACATAAAAACTCAAAACTGGTAGAATGAACACCTGGACCCTTAAATGAATAGTTCTGCTATTTCTTGAACAGCATTTATCTTTGTGACTGACAGTCAAATATTCTCACGGCCCAGTCATTAGACTGTGAACTCATTGAGAGCAAGGATTACCTTTTGCCTTTCTTTGTAACCCCAGAGCTTAGCACAATGTTGGTACATAGTAGGTACTTAATAAGTATTTATTTGCTCACATCACCAAAAAAGGATTTGCTTTAGCTTTAGAGTGAAATGCAATCATACTAAGAATAGCATAGTAATATAGCTGTGGTGATGAATGATACTGAAGAACAGGACTGGGTGATAAAAGTGTTGGGAATACAGAGACAAGAACAGAAGAGTCCTTTCCTTCAAGGAGCTTACCATCTATTGAGGGAAACAACAAAAATATATGTATAGCATTTAAAAAGAAATAAAGAAAGCATGAAAGACAGAATGGAGAACTGGCCTTTAATTTAGGAAAACCTGGGTTCAAGTGCCTGGGGAGGGGGAGACAGAGACAGACACAGCGAGAGAGATAAAGGTGGAGAGGAGAGGAAAGAAGAGGAGAGGGGAGGGGAGATGAAAGGAGGGGAAGACAGGGAGAGAGACAGAGAGAGAGACAGAGACAGACACACAGAGAGAGAGAGAGAGAGAGAGAGAGAGAGAGAGAGAGAGAGAGAGAGAGAGAAAGAGAGAGAGAGCTAGTGCCCACTTGCCAAGGAGTGAAGTAACATGCCTGTGATTGCACAGTGTAGAAACCAAAACTCAAATTCAGTTCTCCTTATTCCAATTCCACCTCCCTTTCCAATGTTACCATATATCCTCCGAATTTTGTGGGTTATCATATACTGCCCTCTTTCATTATTTAATTCCTTTATATATCTGGTCTCCTCCAAAAAAATTCCCAATTTTTTTTAGGACACATATTGATTTCCAGTTCTATTTATCTAACCCTAGACCATTCCCTGAGTTCTGGCCCCTTATCATCACCTACCAGATATTTCCCACTGGATGCCCTGGGTAGGCATCTCAAACTCAACATGGCAGAACACTCAGTTCCTCAGCCTACTCATTTTCTATGGGCTACTCCTGTACCCCACCTCAGCCACTTACAAAGATGGTCATATCCTCGATCACCTACAAACATACTACCTCTAAGTTCAAAAATTCTGAAGTACCCTAATCTGACCATAATCTATTGATTTTTCACCTCTTCCTATGACTTCCCTTACAAAACTCAACTCTTCATCCACACCATGACCTCTAGTACCTTGATTCTAATTCTCTTCCAGGGTATCTCTCCCGCATTAACCACTCTCTTCTTTTCCTCATCTTGACCCTTTGGCAAGCCAATTCAACTTTGCATTGTTCCCTTCTATTGATTTCCTAGCCCACTTAACATATCACCAGTTATGCCCCACTAAGCCTCAGCCTTGGATCACTCCCACCAGTGCCTGGCATATGTTGTTGTTCCATCATTTCAGTCATGTCTAATTCTTTGTGACCCTATTTGGGGTTTTCTTGGCTAAGATACTAGAGTGGTTTGCCATTTCCTTCTTAAGCTTATCTTACAGATTAGGAAACTGAGGCAAACAGAGTTAAGTGATTTGCCCAGGGTCACACAATTAGTAAGTATCTGAGGCCAGATTTGAACTCAGAAAGATGAGTCTTCCTAACTCCAAGGCTGACAGTGTCCACTGTGCCATCTAGTTGCCCCATTCATCATCTAGCTGCCTGGCATGTAGTATGTGCTTAATAACTGTTTATTGATTGAATGATTGATGTCCAGAACAGGACTACTCTCTAAACCCATTCCCCTTCCTAACTTCTCTATGTCTGTCCAAGACAAGTCTTTCCTTCTAGTCATCTAGCTTCTCAAATTCAGTGTCATCCTGTCATCATCCCTCACTCTCCCTCACCTCCCATTTCATTTCCAAATCTTGTTGTTTCCACCTCCATATCATCTCTAATATCTGTTCCCTTCTCTCTATTCACAACATAACCATAATAGTTCAGGATCTCCTCATCTCTTGCATGGACTAGCTCGCACCATCTTCATGCATAGAAAACAAAGAAGAGAAGCAGAGTGGGGGGGGGGAGAATGAAGGAGGAAAGGAAAGAAGTGAGAAAGGGAGAGAAAAAGAGAAGGAAGAAAGGAAAGGGAAGAAGGGAGAAAGCGAGGAAGGAACATGCATAAATCATTTACTATCTGCCAGGCTCTGTTTGGGGACCACTACGGTGGTATAATGGATAGAGTGCTAGGCCTGGAGTCAGGAAGACTCATCTCCCTGGGTTCAAATCTGGCCTCAGACACTTACTAGCTGTGTGAATCTGGGCAAGTCACTTCTCCCTGTTTGCTTCATTTTCCTCAGCTGTAAAATGAGCTGGGGGAGGAAATGGCAAACCACTCCAATATCTCTGCCAAGAAAACCCCAAATGGGGTCACAGAGAGTCAGACATGACTAAAAAACAACTTAACAATAGGCTCTGTTTGACCATATCATTCCCCTATTCAAGATCATTAGTGGTTCCCTATTGCCTCTAGGATAAAAAAAAAATATATGAACTCTGTTTAGCATTCAAACTACTTCACAATCTGGATTCAGTTTACCTTTCCAAGCATATGATTCATTACTCTCCTTCATGAACAGTACATTCCACCCAAACTGGCATACTTGCTGCTCCTCATATGCAACATTGCATCTCCTTTCACCATGCCTTTGCATAGGCTATTCCCCTTACCTGGAATCCATAACCTTGTCAACTCTACTTTTTTTGGAAAATTACTCTTCAGAGGTCAACTCAAGTCCCAAATTCTATGTGAGGCCTTCTTTAAAAAGAAAAATACCTATTCCCACAACTGCTCATGCCTTCCCTCTCCAATTACTTTATATTTACTAGCTATTTGTTTTGTATTTATTCAAATATGTATGTTTCTAATAATAATAATAAACAGCTAACAGTTACTTATGTCTTGTTCCATGCCAGGCACTATGCTAAGTGCTTCATATTTATCATCTTATTTGATCCTCACAACAACCCTGGGATATAGGTGCTGTTATTATTCCCATTTTACAGATGAGAAAAACTAAGGCAAAAGGCAAATAGGGGTTAAGTGACTTGCTAGAGTTACGCAGCTAATTAGTGTTTGAGGCTAGATTTGAACTTAGGCTTTCCTGACTCTAGACCCAGCACTCTATCCACTGTACCACCTAGTACATATAGAATATATATTCCCTATAATATATACAAAATATAATGTATATATGTGTGTGTGTTCCCAATAGCATATATTCCCTATAGGATATAACTTCCTCGAAGGCAGGGGCTGTTTTATTTTTGTCTCCTCAGTATCTAGCACAGTTCCAGGCATATAGTGGGCAATTAATCCATGCTTCTTTACTGATTGATTGACTGGCTTGAAATTCTAACTCTGCTACTTTCTACCGTGAAGACTTAGTCAAATCACTTCCCATTCTCCTTACCTACAAAATAATGGAGTTATGTCTTTAATATAATAGTGAAGTTTAATAATAATGTTGATCATTAAGGTTCCTTTCAGTTCTAGATTTGCAAGAGAAAAGTAAATATTTCAAGATGAAAACGCATTCTAAAAATGCAATGAATACAAATTTTTGAAATTCATGCATTAATGAAAATGTATGCACTAATGAATATGCCTAATGAAAATATGCATGAGAGAACAAAATATCCTCATATTTACTTTTCAACCTCTTGAAGTCTAAGTAAGGTCAGCTGGCTGCATACAAGTAACACAGATGCTTCAGGGCACCACATAGAAAGAAGAATGTCAGGAATTTAGTAAAGATTTGGACACAGCAAAGTCCTGGGAGAATGAGCAAGTGGTTTCCTTCTGACTTGAAGGGTCATGGCTGACAGTGTTAGTTTCTTGGGCATTTTTGCTTGTTTCACAAATGCACCTACATTTGAAATCATCCTTCATATTTTACCTTAGTATGTCAAAGGACTATTTCCCTCTTCATTCATCTCTGGATTTACAAAGCTTGCATTGTTAATCCTCCCAGGCAATAATGCTTTACCACAGTTTGCAGATGGAGGGCTATAAAACTGTCACTGTGCAAAAAGCCCAAGGAAACAAGCAGATTTCCTTTCATAGATAAAACAGGTCCCCTGTGTCTGTGACTCCTTCTTAAACCATGTGAAATCCTTGGGCTAGCCAAGGATAAAACTGGGGATATACTTAATGAGGGGAAAATTAGAGATATACTTGATGAGGGGAAAAACATATCAATGAAGTGGAGATGAAATAGAATGGAAAGAGGAATGGAAAGAGCAAGGACTAAGTTGGATGAGCTCCCACTACCAAAGCTATCTGTGTCAGGGGTGTGACACGCCCTTTGCTGTGTTGGTTTAAGTTCATATACTGAGCATTCAAGAGGATGTTTATTTAATCTTATGCACGTGGCCTGCAATTAGGATACACTACCACCAAGTGACCAGTGATGCCTTGGAT